AGCCTCTGTTCTTGCAAAGCAGAAGTCCATCAAAAAGGCTGTGGGCAGCCAGAAGGAACTTAGTGGCTGCGGGGTGTGGGGGCTGTCCTTTCAAGAGGCTGCAAAGTATCTAACTCCTCTGCCAGGCTGGCCTTGTAGAAACTCTTTCTGGCAGCACTGATGACCCTGGGGCCTGGACTCTTCCAGCTGAAGCCGGCCTGGACCTCAGGTGACAGAGAAAGAGACAAGTGTGAAGAAGGGAGGGAGGCAGATGGGAGGTGTAAACCAGAAAGTCCCCAGAAAGGGGTGGGGGAAAGGTGACTCAGATGCAGAGGGGAAGTGGGAAGAAAGGAGAAGGGGCCCATTGTTGGGAATCCTCCCTCCCTGGGGTGTGAGGCACCCCAGTCCCCACTAAGCTCGGCTCTGGCTTCTGCAAACGAGGATCTGACAATGTGCAAACACACCTCTAGCCTCCTGGATCTAGTCACGCAACTAGCGCTCAGGACCTTGGTCAAGTGACTCAACCTTTGAGGCTAAACTGACCCCTAAGCAATACAGGTGAGTTCCCCTGGGACTCTCTCCAGTAAGGACAGGGCCCTGGGACATCTTAAGCTCGACACCACCCACAGGAAGCTGCAGTCTTTCCAGATGGTAGAAATACAGAAGCTTTCCATTACAGACCCTTTTGGCCCACCGCAGACCTCCTACTGCGGACTCCCTAGGTTCTGAGGCCTTCGGCTGGAATTTGCATATGCAAAATCTTAGGAAGCTAGCTCATGGGTGACAGGCAGCACCCTGGTCTTCTAAGACCACCCATGACCTTCACTGTCCCCAGATGGTATCTGCCAGTTCTGGTTTAAGTCACTCAATTCTTAGCGGCCCCAGAAGAAACTGAGGCTCAGAAGCCCAGTACCCTGCCCAGAGCGACCTAGCTGGGTGACAAGGGGCTGTGTCCCAGCTCTGTGTCACCCCGAGGGCTGCTGTATGCTCTTCCCTCTTCCTCTGCCACCTGCCTTCACGTAATTAAGTGATAATGAATTCATCTCTCTATTTTTGTTATTTATCAAAGCAATATGTAGCTGTCAATCAGAGCGTCTGTTGGGCAAGAGGAAAGAGGCGTACAGGCTGAATCCCTGTCATTCTGGCCCCAAAGCAAAGGACTGCTGCCAGCCTAACAGCCTGGCAGCTCTGTTGGGGGGAAGTGGAGGCAGCCAGAGGCTCATTTCGAGCTACCTCAGTGTCAGCGTTGATGACCGCCACCAGGGCCAGGGCATATGCTGACCGTGGGATTGTGACGGCAGTAACTTAGTAAGTACCGATTCTGTGCCAAGTACTTGGTTGAGCACTTGAAAGCGCCATCAGGGTTAGGAAAGAGGCTCAGAAAGGGTTAAGTAAGGTGCTCTAGGTCCACATGTGGCTAGATCCACAGCCGCCCAGGGCTGCAGGCTGCGTCAACCAGGAAGGGAAGAGAGAAGGGGCAGGTGGACCCAGGTGCTTGTGATGAAAAGCTCCCGGCCAGAAGGAAAAGGAAGCTAGCCTGCCTGATGCAAGAGGTCGTGAGATGAAGTGGGCAGGGCAGGGGTGGGGGAGGAGGGGAGGGAGAGGCTGGGCGGAGGGACAGGGCCAGTGCCAGCCAGCAGGACAAGGAACTAGGGCACCTTCCTCAGATTCCACAGCAGATTCACAATTCCGTGGCTGCCTGCCTTTCAGGCAGGTGTCGGCTTACAGAGAACCCTCCAGAGCTCTTCCTGGGCTGTTGTCAGCTGGGGGGGGGCATCCCTGAAATTCTGTGGGTCTGTCCCATACCTTTTGGCCATGGAAGCTTCTAGAAACAACTTTGAATGAATGGGCGGGGGCGGGGAGAGAATGAGAGCGAGCGAGCGAGAGATAGATAGAGAGAGGGAGGGAGGAAGAGAGAGAGGATGAATATAGCCCGAGGCTATGGGGTGGGGGGGAGCTCGGGCTCTAAGAGCAAGGCCTCTGTGCTTGGCATCAGGCAGAACTCAGCACACGTCATCTCTAAGCCCTACCTTCAGAAAAACCTATGATCCTGAGCAGGTCACTTCTCCCTTCTGTGCCTCAGTTTTTCTGGCTGTAAAATGGGGAGAGGGGCTGGAGTCAGCTGGCAGCGTGGGGGATGGCAGCGCCTGCTGTTTCCCCCCAGTTTCCCTCCACCACTGACCTAGGGCCGCATCTGCTCACCCACACTGAATGGCTGGACCAGAAGACAGCACAGTAGTTCTGATGAGCATCAAGGCTCAAGACCTTGTAGGAATAAGGCCAGAACATAGGTGCCTGTGAGAATCATCACACACAGCCCATCCTTCTTGCACTGGGGTAGACTGAGGTCCAGGGATGACACCTCCTAGCTGTGGCTGCCAGAGGAAAGCCAGCCCCACTTCCCAGGGGCACTGGCTCCTCTCCTCCCTGCCCCTCTGCTCTCAACAGAGTTCTGGCTGCGATCCTGGGACCTGCTGGGCCCCAGGAGGCAGCAGTCACTTGCACAGTGGAAGCAGAACAAGCATTTTGTGCTCTGAGAGGCCGTCTGTGGTGGTTCCCAGCCGGACTCGGCTGGGCTGGGCTCCTCGGGCACAGTGAGGCCTTGTTTCCCTGAATACAGCATCAGCAGCTTTGTGCCCCGGCCAGGGACTCTGGCGAGTGGCACTTCCTTCCCCTGAGGTCCAGCTTTCTGGCCCCTTCCTGCCCTGTCACCCCTCCCAACACCCCGGCCAGCAGTGCCACTGCCAAGAGGCAGCTCTGAGGAGTCCACGAAAGTGCTTCTCCACTAAACGTGGTTCCCCAAAACAGCCTGTGTAAATTGAGTGCTCTCTGCAAGCACAGCTTCCAGATCGTTCTCTCCACTGGTTCCCCACCAAAGTTATCTCTCTCAAGCTTGCTCTTTAGGGCTATCTGTGTTCCCCCAAACACTGCCATGGTCTGGGGGATAAAAATACTACAGAAACACAAGAGAAGGGTGACTGGAGGAGAAAGGTAAAAGGAAAAAGGCTGGCAGTGGCTGCCCGGAGGAAAAGTCAGCCACACACACAGAAAGGGATGTTGGGATGTGTTTCAAGACATTGACGCAGGTATCTGAGATAGAAAACTCTGAAGGGAAGATCATGGCTTTCGGAGCTACTGGTCCAAGTATCCTGATCCTACCATTTTGTAACCGTGAAGTCTTGGTAAGTAACTTTAGTAGTCTGTGGCCGGACTCCATCTGTGCAAGGGTGAAGAAGCTATCTTGGGTCACAGGGCTGGTGGGAGGCATGCACGAGCTCCTTCTCAGCCCTATCGCTTCACGGATCTATGACACATGTGAATACCCTCAGGACTACCCCACAGGGCAGCTCTACCTGGAAGTCACAGCTGCCCTAGGGTTCAAAAGGAAGGAATGTGGATTCCTGCTCTCCAGGCCTAGTCAGTGGAGACTGACCAGGGTCCTCTAGTCCTTGAACCTCCACATAGCGGTCGGGGGTGGCATTCTAGCAACAGCACGGGCTTCTAGTCACCCGAGGCTGGGAACCAAACCCTCTTCCCCTGTGTGAGGGCTAGCTGTGGGTGTGGAGAAGTGAGAAGTGGGAAGAGCCTTCTGAGCCCTGGATGTCCGGAACGCCCCCTTCCTGGCTTCCTGGTTGGTGCCTGGGCACTGCCAGCTGGGTGTGGCTGGGGCTGCCAATCCTTTACCTGCCCACTGTTTTCCGCTATGGGACTCCCTGCAGACCCCTCCAGAACTCAGCTTCAGTGGTTTTTACCCCGTCTGGGGTGCACTCCAGCCTAGTACCTATAGGACCGACTGTTCCCTTTCCAGGAACCCTAGGTGGCGTGACAGGAAGTAGGGATGATTGTCCTATGGAGGGGAACTGGCACCATCCCTAGCCCCACGGGCACTCGCTTTCTCCCCCTCCATATTCTTTGATTTTTGTGGGGTGTGGAATGACTGAGCACACAGGTCTAGAGGATATCCTTCCAACCTGGTAAGGGTACAGCTTGGAATCATAGGAACTGGAGGGTAGGGGTGGGAGTCCCTAGGCAGGGCACATAACAAGGGGCCTCCTTTCTGCCCGGAGGCAGTATGGGCACCAGGGATTGTATGGGAAGGGGGGGGCTGCTGCTGGGGAGAGGCCATCCTTCTGATGGAAAGCAGGGGAGTCACCACTACACAGACACTGAGTGAAGGGGTTGGGGGAGCAGGGATGTGGACCCACAGTGTATGGAGGAGATCTAGGGCCCGAGGAGACTCTGTCCTGAAGGGATGATAGGGGAGTTACAAATGTTTGTAGACTGGGGGACAGGGACAGAGGAGCCCTTTCCTAGCAAGACCACTTGAGCATTAAGGAAATGGGACCTGGCCAACAGAGTGGGTGGGAGGGGGTGGGAGGGTCTGAAGGGTTTTCACCACAGTAAGTAAACACAGAATAACTGGTGTGTGTGTGTGTGTGGGGGGGGGGGGGGGGGGTGTCCCAACCTAGAACAAGAGGGACCAGAGCTCAGCAGAAGAAATTAAAGGGCCCTAGTAAAAGGCAGATGACTGTCACGGGTGCCGGGAATGACCCCCTCGGGAGGCACTAGGGGTGCCTGTACCGCAGTGGGGATAGGGAGTCTAGTAGTTGGGAGAGGAGGGGAAGCCACCGGCCCTTTCTCGGTGTGTGTGGGTGTAGGGTGGTGGTAGGCGCAGTAACTAACAGTGAGAGGGCAGTCGGCACCCTGTGTGGTGCTGGGGACTCGCTGGAGACCTGTGATTATCTGGAAGGAACCTCGGGTGCCCCCAACCCGTGTGGGGTGTCCTGAGGGCAGCACCAGAAGGGGAGGGGGGTCACGTGCCAGGGCCAGGAGGGAGGGTCTCCAAACCCACTTGCGCTCTGGACTGGTGGGTCTGGAAGCCTCGTGGCCCTCTGGAAGAGGCAGCAGAGTTCTCCACCCTGGTGAGTCAGGGTCCTGGGGGAGCCTGACTGGGGGATACTGGGGGTTCGGGCCCGAGGCCGGGTCTAGGGTGGCGGGGAACGGGGCGCGAGGGCACTCACTGCTTGAACATCTTCTCCATGTCTTTGATCTGCTTCCTGGAGAACTCCTTGAACTCGGTGTAGGGGTTGAAGACGCGGCGGCTGGGAGACTGCGGCTCGCCGATGCCCTGGTTGAGGTCCGCACGCCGCAGCAGCTTGGCGCTCAGCTCGTCGTCCGCGCTGCCCAACGCCTGGGCAGCTTCGTCGGGAGCCCCGGCCGCCGCCGCCGCCGCCGCCCCGTTGAGCCCCGGCTGCTCGGTCGCCTCGCCGCCTTCGCCCTCCATCTGCAGCCTCCGGCTCAGCTTGCTAGCCAGCTCGTCCGTGGCCATGGTGGCCCGCGCGCAGCTGCCTCGGCCCGGCCCCTGCTCCGCACCGCACACTCGGCCGCGCTCTTCCTCTTCCTGACACTCCCCGCCGACAGGCGCCGCCCCGAAGGTGGGACTTAGGGGACCGCCCACCCCCGGGCCGGCTCCCGCCGCCCGCGCTACGCGCCGAGTCCCTTTTGGTCCCCGGGGAGGGGGTCAAGTGCAGCCTGCTCTTCAGCTCTTCATCATCGCCCCCTCCCCCCCCGCGTGAAAAGTCAACATCCCTCCGGTGACCTCTGGGGGACCGCCGAGCCCTGGGAGAATCTCTAAAAGGAATCTGGTTTGGGTGGGTGTCCCAACCCTGCGAGAGGGAAGAGGGTCCGCTCGCGCAGGAGGTGGGTGTGTGTTCAGGGACTGGAGAGGGGCGCTCCCCGCAACCCCTTCTCTGGAATCCCCACCGTTTGTGTCTCTGACACCCTGTCGGTTGCCATGGAGACCACTGGTCGTGCAATCCTGGGTGTTCTTGGTAAGGTTGCCGGAGTCTGAAGAAGGTGGACCCTGGCGCTGGAGTCCAGTTAAGATGGTCCCCAGAGCCGGGGTGGCTGGCATCTTTCAAGGGTGGGGCAGCGGTTGTGAGGGAGATGGCACCCTACCGGAGTCTTCAAAGGTCCCCAAAGAACTGGGAAAGGGGAAGGGGCTCGTCCTGTTACACGATGATTCAGCACAATAGCTGCTTGATCTGGTTGATGTCTGGGACTCCACCTTAGTGGGATTTCAGAGAGATTTTGATGTTGCCTCCTTGATGGGGATCCCAGAGGAGTGACCTCCTCCCCAAAGGCTCAGGAATGGGGGCTGGAAAGGGAGAGTTCAGAGGATTTGGCTCAGTCTGTCACTTCAAAACCCCAAATCTGGGCTGGAGAGAGGGCTCAGCTCTCGAGAGTGGTGGCCGCTCTTGCAGAGACTGAATGAAGATCGGTTCCTAGCACCCATACAGGGGTGTGGAGGTTGGGGATGGCAAGTCAGGGAGGCCTATACCTCAAGGTTCAGGGGATCCAAGACCCTCATCTGGCCTCCTTATGCACCTTCACTCGTGTGCACGTACCCCCTCCCCCACATACACATAATTAAAAATAAAGAATCTTTGAGCAGGGCGTGGTGGTGCAGCCTTCAGTTCTAACACTCAGGAGGCAGAGGCTGTGAGTTCAGAGTCAGCCTGGTCTCCATGAGGAGTTTCAGGACAGCCAGGGCTGCATAGCGAGACCCTGTCTCAATAAACAACCAAACAACCAACCAACGAACGAATGAATGAATAAGTAAACCTTAAAACTGCAAAGCTACGGAGCTCCACTGCCAACTGCAGGGCACTAGCCATAATGCTGATTCCCAGGCCCCACCTAGACTGACATGTGGGCCCTTTGGCATCGGGGGTCCAAAAGGTTGCTTTCCGTGAGCACCTGGGGGAGGCGTTATTCTATGGCACAGATGGGGTGTGTATTCTCTCCGATGTGAGGACAATGCTGGAGACCCAGATACTGCCCCCTCTCGTAGGCGAGGCTCGGAGAAAACCTGGGGAGGGCAGGCTAAAAAGCAGTGCCGTGGAGACAGAGGGCACCCACGAGGGTGGGTGATGCAGGCCTGCCACAGGATGACTTGCAGAGGAAGACATTGATCAATATTTGTTGACATGTTCAAAAACATTGTTGGATTAAAAGGTATTTGAAAGAATAAAATGGACACCAAAGGATCTGTAATTTAGAAAATTCGAAGCTTTGATTCACTGTTTGTGAAGTTGTTAAGACTAATAATGGTGCTAAGCTTAAGTGATTTTGTTTTCTTTTTTTTTAAATTTATTTTTATTTGATGTGCATTGGTGTGAGGGTGTCAGATCTTGGCATTACAGACAGTTGTGAACTGCCATGTAGGTGCTAGGAATTGAACCCAGGTCCTCTGGAAGAGCAGCCAGTGCTCTTAACCACTGAGCCATCTCTCCAGCCCGATTTTGTTTTCTTAAAGACCAAGAGTTATATGTTGTTAGCGTTGGGTGTTCTGGTCCAGTTACTTGAGAAAGAAACAAAGGGAAGGAATGTATTTTACTTACTTAATAGAAACAAAGGGTGGGGAAGGAGGGAGCAAAGATTTGAATATTTAAATTACGTCTGCACATAACCTAGGTTTGTCCAGATTGCCCTTGCAAAGTGGGTAGGTGCCCTTCAGAGCTCTAGAGAGCCTCAGTTTACCTAAACTTATGACTTTATTTTAGGTGGAGTTCATGCAGCCCAGGCTAGCCTCGACCTCACTGTAACTGAGGATGATGTGCTTCCGATCTTTCAGCTTTCTAAATGCTGCGAGTTTAAGATGTGTGCCCTTGGACCCTGTTTATATGATGCTAGAGACTGAACTCAGGACATCAAGCACGCTGGGCCACGGCTTTACCCTTTGATCCACGTCCCCAGCCCCATTTTTTTTTTTTGTTTTGTGTTGTTTTTGAGAAAGGGTCTCACTTTGCAGTCGGAGGACTTGAACTTGCTATGTGGTCTAGGCAGACCTCAGACTGGAGATTCTCCTGCCTCAGCGTCTGCGGTGCTGTGATCACAGGTGTCTGCTATCCTCGCAGGACATTGTGACATCTAAGAGTTCTGTGGGACACAGAAGTGTCTTCAGTGTGGACAGTTACATGAAGGGTCTGCTGTCTCGAAAAACAATGCCTGTGAGAGAAATCTGGGGTTTGAGTTTGAATTCTTTGAAGGATATCTGTGTACGTTAAACTCTAGTTAACATCCCACTTAGCTTGCATAGGTAAAATCCTTGGGAAGGAGGCTGGACACTCTTACTAATTATTATTCTTTGGGCTGCGTGCATGCGTGTGTGTGTGTGTGTGTGTGTGTGTGTGTGTGTGTGTGTGTGTGTGTGTGTATGTAGGACCAGAGGACAATTCTTAAGGGGTTTTTCTCCCCTTTCATGGTGGTGGCACTCAGTTAAGCACCTTTGGGATGACACTCAGTTAAGCACCTTTGGGATGACACTCAGTTAAGCACCTTTGGGATGGCACTCAATTAAGCACCTTTGGGATGACACTCAGTTAAGCACCTTTGGGATGACACTCAGTTAAGCACCTTTGCCTGCTGAACCATCTCAACAGATGTTTGCTTTTGAGACCTGGGTCTCACTCTGTAACCCAGGCTGGTTCAGAACTCACTAGATAGTTCAGGCTGGCCTGTAGCTCCCAGAAATCCTCCAGTTTCAGCCCTCTGAGTACTGAGATTACCCAGCTTGGAAAGCTCTATAAACAACTCTTGGGTTTCCTATCTCTGTGCACGTGCGCGTGTGTCTGTCTGCATTTGAAGGACAGAGGCCAACTTTGGCTGTTCTCTCTCAGGCACCCTTCACCTTGTGTTTTGAGACAGAGTTTCTCGCTGGCCTGGAAATTGCAGAGCATATTCTTTACAAGAGTGTTGGGGATTGAACTCAGGTCCTTACACTTACATGGCGAGCGAGTACTTCACCGCCTGGCCTGTCTCCCAATCCTAGGTGAACTTCCTCATATTTCTCAGGGTTTACAGAACTCTGAGGCTCTGGGACATGGGAGGCAGGTGCACATTGCCCTGCTGTCCCAGAGGCAGGCTGCGGTCTTCCCTAGAGGGCTGGCTGCCAAGACCAGAGGTGCAAGTAGGAGGCTGCATTTCATTTAATTTTTTCTTTCTTCTTGGGGTCATTGGATTTCAGGGAGATTTTTTTTTTTCCTTTTAGAAACTAAAGCAATAGCAAGGGAGAGAAAAGCAAAGGCAGTTGATGGGCTCTGACTGGAGACAGAACTTCCAGGAAATGCCAGTTGGCTCTTTATTAGGGGAAGTCCCTTTAACAATGACCATGAGTTCTGTGAGGTGAGCATGGATTCTGGCAGCAGGAAAGATCTATTCTGGTGGCACATTCCAGCATTTGGTCACGAAGAAAGAATGATCTTCAGGAAAAATCACCCCCTCAGCAAAGGATTTCTACAGAGGTTGGGGCGAGTGAGAGCCAATTCTGACGCTCTTGCAAGTGGGAGCCGGGGAGACTTAGTCATCATTGACATGTCTTTTCTGCCTCCCACATTTACTTGTATAACTGTCTTCTGGGGAGGGATGAAGTCATATTCGGAAAAACAACAGCAGTTTGAAAAAGAGAAGGGATGGGCTGGGAGATGGCTCCGTGGGTAAAAACAGTTGCTATGCAGTCATGAGGACCTGAGTTCGAATCCCAAGCATCCACACTTTAAAAAAAAAAAGCTAGCCAGGCAGTGGCACACCTTTAACCCCAGCACTTGGGAGGCAGAAGCAGGTAGATCTCTGTGAGTTTGAAGCCAGCCTGGTCTACAAAGCAAGTTCCAGGACAGCTAGGACTGTTACACAGAGAAACCCTGTCTAAAAAAAATAAATAAATAAAAGAAGTGAGTGTGGCTGTGAACACTGTAGTCCCAGCATTAGCCCTGTTGTGGCAGGAGAATCACTGGGGTTTGCTTCCAGCCGAGCTCAAAGATCAGTGAGAGACCATTTCTCCAGGGAATAAAGCATCATGACAGAGTGGGACACTCGATGTCACCCATGTGAGTGCACACACACACACACACACACACACACACACCAAACACTTGCACTCAGGCATGCCTGCATACCCAGAGAAGACAGAAGGGAGAAACAAGAAAGGGTTGGGAGGAGCTCTGGGTTGACCAGAGAGGGCAAGACCATTGGGGCACATTCCAGAGTCTGACAGAACTGGGTGGTCCCTTCAGCCCTGGGATTCTGGGGACTCAAGAAAGGGATTAGTGAGGGCTTCAGAGATAACAGTGGGTCAGAGCATGCCGTATGCAGCATTTGCCTAGCACTCGGGAATGCTAGCATACTAATTAATCACTATAAACATCCACAGTCCCTGGGAAGCCCCAGATAGACCGAGAAAGATGCGTGGAAGTCAAGGGATCCATCAATACTACTCGAGGCAAAGTGGTGATGGCCGGGCGAGGGGTCACAGTCTCTCTTCAGTCTCTTGCAGCATCTGGAGGCCACTCAGTGGGTACAGTGGGGGTAGTAGCTGGTGTCAGCTGGGGACCTAAGGCCCCCTTGTGTGGAGAAAAGGGAGACGATGGTGGGACCATTTGAACT